ATTCATTTTATGTTTGCTTTAAAAAGTTTATGGGTGATGATGGAAACGGTGTTTCCTAAAAAATAAAAAATGTCAAAAAGAATTATTGTTATAATAAATGGACAATAAATCTTCAACCTGATCTTGATGTAACCTTGTCCGATGAGACACATTTTCATTCACCCAGTGTCAATAAACACACTGATGAGCTGAACAAATTGTTTTGTATTAAAGTAGAGGAAAGATCATCATTTACATTCTTTCATTTGAGTTTTTTGGGGAACTTTAAGCCCTTCATTATGACTCCCAATCACAAGTCAGACTCTTGTCAAGGACCACATGTATATACAAATGGATATGATATAAATATCAGTATCTTTTCCTGTGATTACAGATCACCTCTTTTGTTTATATGCTGAATGTTGTAACTGATTAGATCACGTCGATTACTTCACCAGACATTCATTCATCTTCTACCCATAATCATCTTTCAAGTAAGCTCCAAAGTCATGTGGTAATATTCAGGGAGTCAGTGAATGTAGTTGTTCTGACCACAGTCCAGTGTTGCATTAGGAACTACTGTCCTTCCGGGGTGGATTCAGCCCACGGACTTAAGACAACATTTGGAAACCACTGATGATTACCACAGATGGTTCTAGAGTCTACTGAGATGGACAGAAGGACGGTGGAAACATATGGGAAAGGTGCATGTCTGATTCTATGAGCCAATAATACACGTAGTTGCTGACACTTTTACCTACATATATGTAAATCGTGATGTAGGGGCAACATAGTTATTATTATTATTATAATATTTACGTATATATTTACCCTTTACGAACTTCCCCCACACTGTTATCAACCCTCCCTAGTACAGTTGTAGAATTGCGATGCAGAGATGCTACGATGCATGAGCCAATCAGCGTGAAGAACAGAAGAGCATGCTCAATTAGCCAATAGTACAGCGAGTACGCATTGGATTAGCCAGTGGTACCCAATGGTATGCTGTGTAAGATCTCGTCTGCGTAAACAAAGCTACCAGCAGTCGTTCACAAAAGCGCTAATCTCAATTTCAAAACGAGAATCCACATTCTATGAATCCACGAGAATCCAAAGTCAAAACTTTCATATGTATAATTATTTTATCATGTCTTTTAGCTTATTTTTTGCTATATTTCGGGATAAAGCGAAAATGCTGCAAAAAATTCACATTTTCTGTCCGTTCACTTACCAGAAAATGTTTAAGGACTCATTAAAATAACACTAAAATAACACACCATGGACACCTACAGTGTGTCTGTCTTTTGCCGTTTTTTCTACTTGAATTGAGTGAAATAATGAAGTAGTGGCTCCAACAACAGAGCCCATTTTTTTCTGGTACAAAGATCAAGTTTGTCCAGGTTTTGAGATATGGCTGACAGCTGGGCCTCCCACGGAGCTGCAGCGAACTCACAATACAGTGATGCTTCCTGCTGTCATAACTGCCACGAGAAACCAACCGACCATTTGGTGAACTCAGTCTGCCCAGCAACAGTTAACGTTAAAATGTATGCCACGGTGCACAGGCGCTGTCATTTGCCATGCATTGCAATCTCCGTCTTGATTGATTGGACCAAAATCAATGCTGTTCAGGGACAGACCGCCAGCATTTATAGACCTGTCAGTGCAGCCTTCCTGCGCATGCACCGGGGGAGTGGCACGGTGTTTAATGGCTGCGGACGGTTTGTTTAAAGGTAGAGGCTGTGAGGTGTTGACACAGCTGCCAAGCAGGTGAGGGAGGAAGGGGGGGGGGGGGGGGGAGGTCATGGGTAATGATGCTTAAAAGGGCTGATGATGAAGTGATGATAAGAGGAGGCGGAAATGTATGTTTAGGTTTTAAATTAGAAAATGTATTTAACTCTAACGACATGATTTTGTTGCTTCAAACATGACGTGGTGAGAAGATGGAGATGATTGATGTGTGTGGAGAACATGTATGTCTTTTGTGTGTATCTGTTCGACTGGTGTGGAGGGAGGCCTGTTTTTGACGCCTGGTTCCCTCATCAGTGAACTCTCTCTCTCGCGCGCTCTAGTTTGTGTCTATGTGTACGCGCCAGTTGTTTGTCCTCATCAGGATTAAAGGGATTTCGGTGAGGGGAAGCGTCCATGCCATACAGTGCGTATTGTTTCAACCTTGAAGCCAACAACCTCTGTCGGTTCTCCTACTCTTGGACTTCCTGTCTCACACAGCACAACTCCTTAAGAAAGTTAGAGAGGGAAAAACTTGGAATAGTTTTCTATATTTTACTTGAGCGTGACCTAAAGTGAAAACATTCACTGACTTTTTTCTAATAGGAAACACACTGGGTCCCACATGAGTTCCTCGACACAGACAGAGCGCTTCAGTCCTCCCTTGTTTTGACTAAAAGGCTGCAGGCAAAACAGAGGATTCAGCTTTTGTCTCGGATGATGTAACTGCTTCTTATTGCCTTTTTTTCTGAGGCCCTTTCAGACACACACACACACACACACACACACACAGTCAGACAGAGTGAATGAACTGAGCAGTCTTGTATTCACAGGAGTCAGGCGTTCTGGGGTTGCAGATAGCAGGGGGTAAATGTGGCAGCAGTAAGTAAAAAAAAAAAGGGCCAGTCAGACAAAATCACAGTTGCACAAGATCACCGGGAGACACAAAAAAACACAACGACTCCTCAAACACTTCATTTGCACTGAAGACGTGCAAAGGTCAAAACTTCCATCTGAAAGGAAGATCAAACATTATTATACACTCTTTAAAGACCGTTTAAAAGTTCTGGCGTGGACATAAACACCACCGTCTGTGGAAATAAACAGTGACTATTAGAGAGGCTTCATTAAACTGGCATAAAAGTCAGAGAAGCCTCATAAGTCACACCGTTTGAAGACACACGAAGATAAATGTGTCTGTCAGAAGTCTGCAGCAGACATGATATTATACAGCATCAAAGTGTAGACGCAGTACTCTCACTAACTGTCTACCGTAAGTATTACTTCGGATTGTCATGTTGCTCTGGGTGTTTTCCCACACATTTACAGCAGACACTGCTTTTCAGATCACACCGTAGTGCAGTAGAACTGCTGTTGATTTCCATGCACTATTGTCACGGTCTGTGAAAGGCCGTGGCGGCGGAGTCACAGTGGTCTGGAAATTAATGCAATTATTTATCACTCGCGTCGGTATGGGTGTTGAGAGGGTAAGAGGGTGATGCTAGAGCCGACGTGATTTGATGCAGAAAATTTATTCATTGGTCAATATCATTTAGATTCGCCCGTGTCAGCAGCACAGGCCGCAGGAAAGCCAATCGTAATTACTTAGTAAATAATCTTCACTTCTTCTTTGACGTTGAGTCCATGTGTATGTCTGTAACTACAGTATCTCCACACGACCTGTAAATGAATGAACAGGATTTATGTGAGGTGAGGAGACGAATGGATATTTGAGTAAAAAAAAAGTTATTTAGTTAGTTTTAAAATATTAATTGAGAAATATCGTGACAAACGTCTTGTTTTCTCGGTGCTCTCCGGTCAGTGGCATGACTGCAGGACGATGAAAGCAATCTTATATCACACCGCCCGATCTCTCATCAGGGCCACTCCTTTCATCCCACCCAAGATAATGTCCTTCCAGATCTCTTTCATCACAACAATGAACTTTCAATGAACAACATTGAACTTAAAGAGACATGACATCAGAGAGGAAGAAACCTCAACTTAATTCCAAAATAAATGGGTCTAACTGGGTCTGCATGTTCGACTCAGGGAAAAAAAACAATTGTTTTTGTAGATTTAAACTGAGTGTGAAAAACTAACAAAGAAATCCATTCATTTGCTATAGAAGTATCTGCAAAGGTGTGTTTGTGTCGTGTGTGTGTCTGTCAGTTCAACCTGTATAGTTCAAGGATGTGTAGAGAGGAAGACTCTCAGACACAAAGAGAAAAATGAGATAGCATTAAAAAGGTGAGCACCTCTCGCCCTCAGGCTGATCTTTAAAGAGGCAGGACCCTGCATGTTATACGACGGTAGACTCTGTTCACCTCAGCAGGCCAACGGTTGAACCACTGTATATACCTGCTGATTACTCACGGCTCTACATTACAGACACAGGTTGAAGATCAAATTGCAGGTGTTTTGATTCCAAAAGCTACAAACAGTGATGAAAGTGCCATTCCATCTTAGTGTATCACAGCGCTAACAGCATCACTGCACTTAGTCCAGAGGCTCAGCACCAGGTTTTCATGTAGTCCAAAGCAGTGTTTCCCTAACCTTCACGACTCAAGTCAATAGACATAATTCCTAAACCCCTGGGAAACATGATGCCAACCCCAAAAAAAAAACAAAAAAAACTCTTATGACCCACCTGAGGGTCGCGACCCAGTCTTTGGGAAAACGGATTAAAGTAGGGGTCACCAACGTGGTGCCAGGGGTCACCTGGTAGCCCCCATGGACTATCTAAAGTGCCCGCGGGGTATGTTCTAAAAATCAAACTAGTCAACAAAAGGGTCAAAAACTGTGCTTTTTGAATCAGTTCTACTTGCAATGATATTCACATGGGTGCAATGACGATGGTAAGAAGAGTGTCTACTACTGTATGTCCCAGAACTGATTATTATAACGTTGTTTGTAAAGTCTGTATCAAACGAATAGCTCTCTGTATTACCGAGTGTCCTTGAAGTAGCTCTCGGTTTCAGAAAGGTCAGCGACCCCTGGTCTAAAGCATGGGTGTCCACACTATTTTGGCTAATGGCTCATTTATTAACTCTTCATTTATTCCGTTGGTCTTGTTTTGTCAGACCAAAATGTAGCGAGATCACACTCTTACACACTCTCCCTGCTGTGACTAAATCAATGTAAAAGCAACGTTTTCCCGGGCCAGCAGATTCCGTATTGCAATATGTAATACGCGAGTTACGTTGCCACTAGAACCCGAACCCTGAAAGCCCACGCCCTCCACCCTTCAGTTTCTCCACATGATTTTTTAATATTCCACGGCCCACACTCACCTGTTTGTTTCAGGATGATACTGCTGAGAATGGAACAACCTGCAGGACCTTGGCTCAGAGAATCGCCCCTTCACTGGGTGGGCACCAGTTAGGGTTCAAGGGTGGTCCATCACTGGGGTCATCCATCATCTCTCCATCCCCCCAGGCTCCTCGTGGATTGTGCCAGTGGCTGCAGTCAGGCTTGCATCACTGCAGGGCAGAGACAGCAACATAAATGTCAGAGAAATTAACTTTTTTTCCAGCGCCCACAGTGTCTGACATGACAATAGGTGGGAGAGAAGAGAGGACAGAGCACGGAGAGGCAGAAGCAACTTTTCAGAAAAAAATACAATCCCTCTTCACTCTACAACTGCTACCTCTCATTCTGTTCTCTCTCCCTTCCTCCATTCTTTCTCTGGCACTTTTTCTTTTCCTCACTGCCCTCTCCTCCTCTCCTTCCCTTGCTCTCTTTCAGTATCGCTGTCTCGCCCACCTTGCCTCTGCCCGCAAGCAGTTTGAAGCAGATTATAGCCCTGCCACCCCCACTCGCCCATGCACACAAACATTCACTATGGTGCTGACGCACATCTCCAAACACACACACACACACACACACACACACACACACACACACACACACACACACACACACACACACACAAACATTAATGCACGTAAACACACTTTGAGACGGTGTACTTTGGCCACCTACGAGGGCACAACGCTTCCCTCTGCTAACGACAGTTGATTAGAACATTCTGTCCAGTGTAAATACGCTCAGACATGCGATACGACGCCCTGGCAGGATGAATTACCAAACATACCATTACCAAAGTCAAACATACACTTCCTCTGGCAGTTCTGGTTAAGGAAAGTGAGATCTGGTAAACCGCAGTTCAACCAGCAATTATGAGAAAAACAAAGTTTGTTTTAAAAACAGGTTTGTTGTGTGAAGTGGTTGGAGAATTCCACATTAAGGACCTTTGAACAGTGTTGTAATTGTGGCACGACTCTTTAAAGAACCTGTTTCAGCCAAAAAACAAAAAAACTACTTTTATCAAGTTACCTTAATTATTAAAGATCAATTCACAACCATGGGTTTGACTGAGAGCATTCATGTAGACACCACGCTAGCTATGCTAGCCTTATTTCTCTTTGTCATGTGTGTGTGTGTGTAGTCAGTGTGTGTTCTCACACTGCATGCACGCACACGTTCCTCTTTTGTTTTATTCGCTGCTGCGGCCCCCGTGTAGATAATGTGTGCTGCAAACTTTACGGCTGAATGGGGACTGCGTGGGACTAACCTGCGATCTCACCACCCACCAGTCACAAACACACAGGACACACACAGCCTGGGCAACTGTTTCTTAGTGTGTGTGTGTGTGTGTATAATTACACCTTTACCTTCCATCAAATGCCTCTGTCCTTCTCTGTCTGAATGTGATCGTTACGTATCATGGGTGCACTGCTGATGCTAACATGCTAATCATAGTTCATCTGATTACATTTCTGAGCCCTTTCAAACATACGGCTCATTTATCATCGCTCTGATACAGTGTGTACACATGTCGTTATTTGTACACCCTGTGGGAAACATTTTTTGTCACAAAGCACCTGGACCTTAAAATACCATGTCAAGTGTGCTTTTGTGGAAACCTCAACCTTAGGTCGGACCACCTGCATATGTCAGACCAGCCTCACTGACACAGGGCAGTAATCAGTCTCCAGCTGACCAGCTGACCAGAAGGCCTGGTAAATAGATTACAGGTGACAGTAGATTGATTGACATCGTTGAGGACAAAGTTTCTACTCCCAACGTGTTCAACAAGTCACTGTCAAGAAGCACGTTAATGACAAGAGTCCAGCATCTCTAGTTAGTATAATTCAGTACCACACTTCTGGATTTTTTTTCATGACATTTTCCCATATTATTAGATCCATCATTTGGATTAGTCACATATAAAAACGAGTGAAACCCACACAGCTCCCTGCTGTAGCTGGTAATTTAGTGAGAAAAGGTTTTTGTCATTTAGAGGAATGTTGATTTATCTAGATTGATCAATTGGTAGTAAAGCACTTAGCACGCCTGCACAGTAAGCGCAGAGCATAGCAGACAGTGCTGGGTTTGATTCCCAGAGGAATCACATACTTGGAGCCTGCAGGGAGCAGCAGGTCTGCTGTTAACACAAGGATTTCCTAAGTGTGAGATCATTGAAGTTCAATTTTTTAATTTTTCTTAAATCATGCTAAATTAGATTAATCATGATTAGTTGTGATTAATCCTCCGCGACCCCACATTAGAAGATAGATGATAGATAGACATCTATTAAGCACCACCACAGTGATGTCAACCTACTGTAATATTAGAGTGTATGTAGGAGGCAACGTTTGTCAATTTTCTCTGGTTCGAATAATGCCACATAAAAAAAGACTGTTAATTCAAGAGCACCCATCAGATCCCACAGGGTTTACCTTTACTATGTAAGAAAAAAAAGATGTCAGTGTTAGATTCACTGGTCGACTGCACTCGTGTGAATGAACGTATGCAGTAAAATAAAGAAATACTTCTCACATGGGGTAACGCTTGTCGATGAGGCATCCAATCGTGTGGCTACATGAATATGTGTGTGTGTGTGTGTGTTTGTGTGTGATAATGTGCATCCTGAACTCTACAGTCTGCTGGTAATGAGTGCCCTCAGTGCTCCCCACTACACCTAACTGATCCAGTAATTGCTTTTCCTCCTCTGCATTTATCATCATCTGCCTGGCCTGTCATGTTAGCTGAGCTGAGGAGGACAGAGAGGGCTGCAGGAAACTGTGAGTCGCAGACGGTGGCGGTGTGTTTGTCTGGATGTGGCGGAGGTGTCAGCTCGCTCCTTTATACTGAGAATCAGGGAATTTATGGGAAGCAGACAGGACGGGTTTTGGAGAGTTATATTTCCATGCGATATTTTAACAATATTCTTGCCCTTAAATTATATAAATATATTTCACAACTAAGATATAAAAATATAAAAATACTATTATTATTATAATTATTATTATTAAATATTATAAAAATACAATTTAAAGACAAATACAATTTTACTTTCTCCATAGTTAACACAGTCAGCTGAACAGAAAGTGAGAGGAGCTTTTGAGACTAGAATTCAATATATATGTATGTATAATGTATAAGAACTGAATCATATTATACCATACAGCTACATGTATGTAATCAGGTTCCCAACAGGTAATGTTTATAGGTTAATAACCCTATGGAAACAAGGCAACTAGGTACAGGGCTGCAGTGTTTTCTGGGTAAAGAGACAACCGTTAGCGTGTGCAGGTAAATCCATAATCAAATGTATACACTGACAAAAAAAAAACGCTCCTGTAGATTTAAACAAATGTCTTTCTCTCTGCGAGGCCTGCAAATGAGGTCTACGTGTTTGTGTGTGCATGAGAATAAGAAAGAGAAATGAAGGGCTGTACTGTAATGGTTGAGAGGACGGGGGGACGAGGGGGGCAACTGCTGCTGCTGCTAGGGATTTGATGCTGATGAGGTCTGTAATGGCAGTGAACAAGGAGCGTGAGGGGAATGGATTGGGAATTTATTGGCAGGCCCACTCTCCCTGTGCACTGCAGTTTGCTCATGTATTTATTCCCCTCTTCCATTGTGCCTCTCTTTTGACCTTTGTGCAGCCAATGACGGTCAAAATTGCGTTGCCACTGGAGATCCACGCATCAGCTACTGAACGCCCCTATATCATTTTCTCATTTACAGTTTTTTTCCCCCTACAGATCTGAAATCTGCAGCACAGTCTTCCACGGCATCAGTCAATCTTATGGACAGTAAAATGATTTATAAAAACACACACACACACACACATATATACATATATGTGGGACATGCACAAATGCAAATCCATTGTAGTTAAATCAAGGACAAAGGCAGTGTTCTAAAAGTCCAGATGGTGAACCAACCAAGATTCAAAAGCTAAACATGTTGCCCACCATGATCGCCTGAAACAAAAAGACGACGTTCAGCCAGGAAAACAGATGGAAAATACTCCTTCTGCCTCCTCTCCTCCCTCATGTTCCTTCCTCCATTCTCTTTTCTCCCCCTCTCCTTAAGCCCCCACAGACACACACACACACACACAGACACACACACACACAGATTCAACACATAACCCACCACCATCCTCCTTTTCCTCATTTCCCCACAAATCCTTCCTCCCATGCACTTCTGAAGAGCAGATGCAGGCAGCGCGGCAGATATAGAAAAGGGTTAAGCAGTGTTGAACTATGAAGCAGTCAGAAAGAAACGCACAAAGCTTGAGATGGCGCTAAAAATAAATGAATCCTGGGGTGACAGCAAAATGCTCCATGCTCCTAAAATAGCTGGTCAAACAAAGGCATGAATAAAGAATGCGTGAGGGTTTTTTATATTTTAAGAGGAACACCCCCGTGTGTGTGTGTGTGTGTGTGTGTGTGTGTGTGTGTGTGTGTGTGTGTGTGCTAACGCGGAGCGGCTCCCTGGTTGCTAGGTTACGACACTTGTGGCCGTCATCCACAGTCTGAAGGTGCTTGTTTGCATTTTCAAAAAGGCAGCCTTCTTATTCAGCCATCGCTGGAAATTTAAAGGAGCATAAATTGAACCACATGCATTGCTAATTAGGGAAACACCGAGAGCGGAGTGAGTGGCATCCAACAGATCGGCTTTATACAAAGACGGCTTGTAATCCAGACGCACCATAATGTAAATGATCACAGCAAACTGCTACCCAAAAAACAAATTGAAAGGAGAGGGGGAAAAAATCTGGCTGGTGTGTTCATGTGTATCTGTCATTTATAGTGAATTTGGAAGACCATTTTGACCAGATTTGTACCAATATCTAATTACCAGAAGTATATTTACATATTCTAATTATCAAAAAAACAAAAAAACATTCAATAGAAAAACCAGGACAAAGAGCTACATATGCATGTCTTGTATGGTAGTAAGTATTTAGCTGCAATGAGGTCACAAAGAGTGACTTCTGAATTATATACACTTCCTCGGGGTAAGAGTTCCCCATTAAATCCTTGCCAAATGTCACAGTTCAACTTTATACACAGCAGTTTCCGAGGACATCAATCCTCCCTTATCTGGGACACAAAGGGAACAGAAGGAAAAGCTGCTCATCTTTATGGTAAAGGTCATTCCGCACACGCAATCCATCAGC